GGTGCTGGGGGATTGAACCGCGGTCCCTGTGCTTTGCTAAGCTTGTTCCAAGTAGGTGCTTTAGACCACTGAGCCATCTCACCAGCCCCTCAATTAAAATTATAAAACCACAAAGTCATGTTATTACCATTTAGTGTCTTTCTTTTTTTTTTTTTTTTAATGGTTAAAAAAAATTGGGTTTTGTTGTTTGTGCTAAACAATACTAAAAAAATTTTTTTTTTCATTTTGAAGGCAGGGCTTGAATTATTTAATTTTGATCCATTCATTTAATTCAAAAAAAAAAAAAAAAAAAAAAAAAGGAAGGGAAGGAGATCATGGCCAAAAAGAATAGTAGTTAACCCACCCACCCCCAAGGCACCAGCCAGGCCCGCACACAGCCCCACGCCCACGCGGTGGCGTGCCAATCGGGCTGCGGCTCTCAGCAGGTCAGTCACACCAGAGTCCAGTCGCCTCCCAGGCTGCTGCCCACCGGGAGCACATACAAGCTGTTATGAGCTTGTAAGTTGTCACTTTTGGGCTGCGGCATGGGTGAGGAGGGTGGGGCTTGGGACTTGGCTGGTGCCATCTTGTGGGGCGGGCAGCCCAGTGTCCTGGGAGGACGAGCCCTACAAGCGCAGCCCTGCAGCTCTTCTAGTACCATGGAGAGGCGCGAGGATCAAGAGGGGCCAGGCGCAGCCCGCAACCTGCTAGTGGCCCAGGACCCCCGAGCCAAGTCCCACCTCGGTGGCCCAAGCCGAGGCGGTGGCTGGCGGGGCAACAGGAAGGGCAACACATTGTGTTTCAGGGGTAAGAGGTGGGAAGAGTGGCCATGATCTAGTAAAAAGAGACCTGCAAGAAGCAGAAAATATTTAGAGAACATTTTAATATATATTTTCATATATATATTTAAAGTTAAGAAAAATAAAACTAATTCAAGCCACGCCTTGTGCAAAAAAAAAAAAAAAAAAAAAAAAAGAAAAGAAAAAAAAGTAAGAAAACGTTTAAAGTGAGACCTCTGTCAGCTGCTCTGGCCTCAACTCAAGAGTCACAGTCAGCTTGTTACTTTCATTTGGGAAGAAGAGATGTCAAAGTTTCTTTCAATCATTTGGAAGGCAACTCAAGCCACTCATAAAAACAGAACGGCAGGGACAGAGTAGGGCCAGAGAGGAAGAGGTGAGAGGCCAGAGCGGACAGGGGGCTTTTGAAAATAAAATTAACAAGGTGACTGTCGGAGAAGGGCTGTGACAAGGACATGGCGGACGAAGTCTGTTAGTCAAGTAATGATTCAACTTTAAATTATCTCTGTTCGCTTTTGTTGGGTGTTTGTCTGTTCAAGTCTAAGACTGGACGCGCTGGCCCCCGGGAGCAGGAGCCAGCAGGAAACATGAGGTCCCTCCCCTCCCCGGCCTGCCTCCGTGAGCCGCCACCGTGCGCTGGGTGCCGAGGTCCCCGCCGCATGGCCTCAGGACGACAGGGCAGCCTCCTTCTGTGGTTGCTGGGCTTGTGAGCGCTGCAGGACCTTTTGGCTTTCCACGTCTCTAAAATGCTTTTCCACCTGCAAGAGCCCAGGCAGCGTCAGCACAGGGGCTGAGGCATGCCCCGCCCACCGCCCAGGTGACACCAGGCCTGCTGACACCAAGGCTGGCGGCAGAAGTGGACCCCGAGTGCAACACGAGCTGAATGATCCCCACCCCTCCGATGCAGAACTTTCACCCATCTTCACACCCCCAGGATGGGGCCAGCTGAAGGGGCACAGCACCTGCTGTCGCCTTCCCAAGGCCACCCAGCACTCAAGTGCGACAGGGCCCCATCACTTACTATTTTGCGTACATGGCTCAGTGCACTCCCCTCTTTGCCTTTACAGTTTTCCACTTGATAGGGGGGTGTAATAACAACTTCTTCCATGACTACGATGTTTTTTTCTTGCCATTTACAGTCTTTAATGCTGGAAGGAGAAAAGCACAGAAGTTATGTGTGGGGTACCGAGGCCAGGAGGTGGAGTGCAACGTCTCAGGTGTGGCCGTGGCTCACAGCAGCGGTCATGCTGCGGTCACAACAAAAGGAAGGTTTTGATCCCAGCAGAGCCCTCAACTGCCACTGCAAAGCACAGAGCTGGAGAAACAGCATCGGGGGGCAGCCAGGAGGGTGGTGCAACCCTGTAATCCCAGTATTCTGGGAGGCTGACGCAGGAGGGTCCTGGAACACTTGGCAGAGGGCAGGAGGTCAGATGACTTCTGCTGGGACACCATGTTCTTCAGGACAGGGTTAGAAGGTTGCCTTCTGCTCTCCCCAATCCCCTAAACCCATCCCAATGTATAACCGAGAAAATTCATGTAGGCATAAGGCTCCTCTAATAACACAGTGCTAGCTTTTACAGAAGATAACAATGAAAAAGGAAGGGAAAAGGAAAAAGAAGGAAATCACAAGTTCTAGATTACAGACAATGACATCTAGCACGGTACTTATGTACAAGTCAATCCAAAATAAGCGTTCTTGGGCTAGGAATATAGCTCAGCAGCATAGCACCTGCCTGGCAAGCACAAGGTCCTGAGTTCGATTTCTGGTACAAAAAATAAGGGTTCTTGGGGTGCTGGAGCTTGAACCCAGGGTTTGGCTCATGCCAGTGCCCTACCACTGAGCCATACCTGCAGTCCCTCTCCTCCTCCTCCTCCTTTGCAGACACCCCTCCTGCCTCAGCCTCCTGAGTAGCTGGGATTACAGGTGTATGTCATGTCCAGCCAAAGCAAAGTTGTACAGACAGGAAATCAAGGCCAGGAGGGGATCTGGAGATCCCTCACTGAGCCCACCACTCTGCGCAGAACCCTGCCCGACTCACGTCTTGTGGATGGTCTGGAAGAGCTGCTGGCCCTCGACGGAGACACCAGCGCTGATTGCATAGGCCTGGCTCAGCTTCTCCTCCTTCTCCGTCCGTGCTTTGCTGGCAAGCTGGGTGGAGAGAGGAAAGACTCAGGAAAACATGGCTCAGTCCCCAGCATGACACCAGACCCTGGCCGGGCAGGAGCCACAGACCTGTCCAAGGGACTGTGTTTCACTGGAGACCACAGCTACCCGGAGACCTAGCAGGACAGCTGCCAGGCCCTGGCATGCAGACTGGCTACCTCCTTGTCCTCCCTTGGTGGCTCCCACACACCAGCTATTGTGCTTGGGCTTGGGGACAGGCTGCATACAAGCACCTAAACAACTTCAGGTAGTGACAGTGCTGGGACCCAGTGCAGACCAGCAGAGTGTGGCTGAAAGCTCTATGAGGGGGCAGAGGGCTGCAGAGGAGCCCCCATGTCTCTGTGTGCAGCAGGCTCAGGGAGCAGAGCTGCACACGTGCCGAGAGTACACCCAGATGCAGGCCTGGCCCATCTGCAGCGGCAGCGGCGGAACCAAGGCACTGCAGCTTCACCTGCTCCCTCACAGCAGCAGAGCCAGGGCCACAGCCTCCACAGCCCTGCACTCACACTGCCCTCTGGTGGGGCTGGAGCTGGAGAGAACTGCTGCAGAAGCTCCGGGAAAGCCCAGGGCAACCCCTCCTCACACTCTCGGGTGCCAAGACTCAGAGGAGCTGCTTTGTTGGAGCTGAGGTGGACACACACAGGACAAGTGACTGGGCAAATGACAAGGCAAACTCATGTCACCGGCAAACACATGACTAAACGCAGAACTGGCAAGGGTGTGACCTGCCTGCACCAGCCCCGCACCACACATGGAGGATGCGTCCCAGAACTCTGGGTCCTCAGACGCTCACCCTCTGCCCACTGCACAGGCCTGGGGAGGCAGCCGGTGGCAGCTCTGGGTGGGCCCTACACAGTGTTGCCACTGGCTGTCTCCCCAGGCCTGCGGCCTCGGCCAGGACCAAGCCCTCAGTGCACATAGGCAGCCTGGCTGCCACATGGGCCTACAGGGATGCACCTTTACAGAAGGAACATGGGCCATGGCTCTCAAAGCCAGAAGCACACGGAAGGACAAGCAGTGCACGTGGGGTGTCAGGAAGGCTCCCTGGGCCTCCCTTCTCACTAAGGCCTTAGGTGATCTGGGCTCACCCAAGCTGCAGGAAAAGCAGGACCCAGCCAAGTACCCCAGAAGCAGCAAGTGGCCAGGCAGCATTCAGCCTGTGAGCAGCAGGACAGTCCACTCACAGGTCTCAGCTCCAATAGAAATGCCTGTCTTCAGAAAGACAGCACAAAACTGTCCCCGCCACTGACCACAAAGAGCCGCCTTACGCATGTTCAGAGACAGGTGATCAGAGGGACAGGGAAATCAGCAGGACAGACAAGCCAGGCACTCCCAGCGCAGCTGACACAACGCTGGCCCACTGAATACACCAACAGGGTAGGAGCACCCTTGTGGTGCGCCAGGGGTGGGTGTAAGCCTCAGATGGCGGTGACCTGGTGGAGGCTGCCCAGTAACAGCACCCTGGTGATGGAAAACCAACTTCCCAATATCCCCTCCCTGAGCTCTAAAAGCAAGGAAGGGAACAGGTTAGCGGTGTGCACCATCCAGGTATGGAGAAAGCCCAAGGCAAGCTGGGGCCAAAAGGACTGCAGGCTGCCAAGGTGCTGCTGCCTTCTCCTCTGCCCTACTTGAGCTCAGCCCCAATACTCTCAACCGCTCCACCTACTGCACTGCAGCTGAGCTGTGTGGCTCTAGAGTCTGCACACTCAGAGACCTCCGGCTGTCATGTGCAAGCTGCGTTTCCATGACAATTGGGAAACTGCTCCAATCAGACACCCAGCTACAGTGCCAGGGTATATCCTGCCACAGAAGACTCCACCAGTGAGGCACAGGAAGAGCATTCCATGAAGAGAAGCTACAAGTGCTACCTCTCCTGAAAAATGGGTGAGGGGAGAGAATGGGGCATGGTGGTACGCGCCTGAAATCCCAACAGTCAGGAGGCTGATGCAGGAGGATCGCTGCAGGCTTGAGTCCAGCCTGGGGTACAAAACAAAACCCTATCTCCAAAAAATCAACAAAAGAAAAAAAAGATGGGATGAAAGCTTACAGAGAACTTGGCAAAATCTTCTGTAGGTACCCTCAAGTTAACTGATGCACAAATCTAAATTTTCCCTCAGCAAGTGACTCCTGAGCTACAAACAGCTCAGGTACTTGGGCAAGCAGTGCAGGATAGGCTGAGCCCTGGAGGCTTGGGGTCATCAGGGTGGCAACTCTGCCTGCCTATGGCTGTCACCCACATGGCACCGCTCCATGGCAGCATCATGCTACTCACCCCAGACAGTCCACACTGAAGCTATAACCAGTCAGCACCCCACAGAGGCTCCATCCAGGCTTACGCTGGCACCAACCACAGACAGCCCCTGCACTTGACTATTTGCACCCTATGGCCTGTTCCTTTCTACTCACCATCCCTTTCCTGGGCCCTTACACATCCCAGGATGGGCAGCAGAGAAGCACCAGAACTTGGGAACAAAGCTGTGGACATCAACACTAGGCATGGCCCGAGTGACTGGACACCACATGCCACACATGGCTTCTGCGCAGTCACAGGGATCCCAGCAACATGCACCAGTCCTGCTCCAGAGGCCCCAACTGGGCCATCTGTCTGCACCCAGATCAGGAAAACACAGGTGTCAGGGGACCCTGATAGATTTCTATTGGAAGCATCTGCAGGCCAGGCCAGCTGGCACCAGGACCACACAGTGGCAGAGGACCTGGTGAGGTGACCTCCTGACCCTAACAGCCACACTCAGCGTGAGTGTGGTCATCCCTGCTGGGTGCTGGACCTTCCATCCAGCTGCTCTCATCACAGGACCAGGACCCACAGAGTTGGGGGCCAGGGAGATGGCTCAGTAGAATAAGGGCTTGCCTGGCAAGCGCAAGGGTCTGAGTTCAATCCCTGGTTCTGCCAAAAAACAAAACAAAAAAAGGACCCCCAGAGCTGCTGCCTGCAGCCTGGTGGGGACAACCGTCCACTAGGGAGCCTTGCTCCTCCCTTGAGATCTGAGGCCGAATACTATAAAGCCCCTGTCTGCAACATCCAGAGGGCTTGACATCCCCAGGCTCCTGGACCCAGCTCAACGCCCCTGCCTGAAATGTGCTCTTAAGACATCACTCAACCACGCTGTCCTGTGAAGCCAGACCTCTCTCTCAGGAGGCCACTATGGGGCTAACTGCTACTGAGTGTGAGTGCAACCTGGCCCCAGGCCCTACTCCGTCCTAGTGTTAGGGAGGAGCACATGCCTTGCACACAGAAGGCAATCACAGCGCTACTGAACTAACCTGTCACACCTGAGACAGGCTTTTAAGGGATACACACCTGGCATTCCAGCACTCAGATGTCAAGGCAAGAAATGCCAGTTCCAGCCCAGCTTGGGCAGCTCAATGAATTAGCAAACCCTTGCTCAGTGCAAAGGCACCAGGTCCAGTCCTCAGTACCACAATCCATCCATCCATCAATCAGAAGTTTTAAAAATCTTGCTCCTTTTAACCTCAAATACTATGGTTAGAGACCCAAAAGATACTGTGCCCACAGGCACAGTGGCACACCTGTGATTCCAGAACTCAGGAGGCTGAAGCATGAGGATTCTACATACAAGGCCGGTCTGCAAGCCTGGGCAACCACATCAAAAGCTAAAAATCAACCCGGTATGGTGGCACATGCCTGTCGTCCCAGGACTTGGGAGACTAAGGCAGGAGGATCACTGGCCTGAAATACATAGTGAGACCCTGTCCTCAAAATAAAAGAAATAAAAATTTAAAAATGCACCAAAATCATCCAGCTGGGGTGACACGCCGGCAAGCCCAGCAGTCAGGAAGGCGAGACAGACAGACTGAGTTGTAAGGCTAGCCTGTGTCACATAACCCAAGCTATACAAAAACATCATGTCTCAAAAAGCTTAAAAAAACCAAAAACAAACAAACAAACAGCAAAAAGGACCAGGGCTGTGGCTCCAATCCCAGCCCCACCAATGCAACAGAGTGCCCTGGAGGCCAGAGTGTGCTAGCTACCTCAGGGATGCCTGCAGTGAGCACTGGGACCCAAGAGCCAGTCCCAGAAGAGCGAGAGCGTATGCCTTGTTTCTTTTTTCTTTTTCTTTTTTGTGGTACCGGGGATTGAACTCAGGCCTCTGTGCTTGCCAGGCAAGCGCTTATTCCACTGAGCTATCTCCCCAGCCCTTATGCCTTGTTGTGCACCAAGTTACAGCACGATAGAAAACTAGGTTGGGTGAACTTTTCCTCCTTTCTTTTTTTTTTTAAATGTATTTTAGGGAAAGGGTCTCACTACACAGTTTGGACTTGTAGTGATCTTCCTGTTTTTCAGCCTCTCAAGCGCTGAGATTACATGCGCACACCACCATGCCCACCCTCATTCACTGTCTCAGTGAGCCCAGTGGTGGGGATGGCACGGCACACCGGGTATAGAACCCAGGTGGCTGCATCTGCCTGAGCAGGCACTTTAATCCGCTGAGCTATCTGGCTGACGGAGAGACACTGCCACAGTCCCCTCAAAATCTTCCTTGCTTCCGACCCATTCACCCTTTCACTGTGTCTGGTTGGGGCAGACACATCCTCGGTGGATGATGTTTTCTCTCAGAGGTTCTGCTGTCTGCAGGGACAGCAGGAGCCACGCAAGGCTGGGAGGATGAGCCACGCTGGCCCACCTTTTACTGGACAGCACTCGGCAGCCACACACGCCATTTTCTAGAGTTTGGTTCTGCTGAGATTGGGTCTCACTGTGTGTCCAAGCTGACCTCAAATTCGTAGGGATCCTCCTGTGTCTGCTCCAATTGCTGGGACACCAGGCGGGCCACACCCTGGGCACTCTCAGCTCCTCTCTCACCTCATAACCCGTCAAAGTGATGCGTAAGTGTGCTGGAAGCAAGAGGAAGCATTCTGAGAGGACTTGCTGCAATGTGTTTTACTGTTTAAAAAAAAAATGTTTTAAGTATTTACAGTCTAGTTGGCCACTCCTGTACCTAATT